TACCCGTGCTTTGCAGGATCCGAAGAACAAACTTGCGCGTCCTCCAGTCGATCCAAGCCCAAGCCCTGAGAATATGCCTTGGTCTCCCGAGATGCGCGTCTACAGCAGCGACAGTCATCATTGCGCGTGATTATCCAGTCAGCGCATACATCCGCGTAGACGCTTTGAGAATGCACATAAGACATTTCGCTCGGCTTCCATCTCATCACCTCGCCTCACTTCGAACTTTCAGGCCCCTTTCAGCGTTCAGCGCAACTGTAGCTCAGCATTGCGCAGTGCTTCCATTGCACTTCACGCATGCAGCACAGCCGCCGATACCATTATGGTGCCTACACCTACTCAAAGCCCTTCTTACAATTCCTGGCATCCAAAATAAGAAAAAGTCGCCGCATCTAGCCCTGAAACAGGTCACATTACTTTTCCTGCAAGAGAAACACAACGGACGCCTTCACATTTACACGGATGGCTCGGTGTCTTCAGTAAGCTCTGCAGGGGCGGTGGTTATTCCCGCGAGGCACATCACAATTAAGTTCATGACATCACATTTGACGTCGTCGACAGCTGCAGAACTTGCAGCCATTCGTGCAGCTCTGGAGTTTATAGTGAAAGAACCTTCGGCAATTTGGTCGATCTTCTCGGACTCGAAGGCATCTCTTCAATGTCTTATATCACCCTTTCGCCATGAACCTAATGAACAGTTAGTAGCTGAAATAAGGCTTCTTCATCACCAAGCAACCGAAAAACAGCACAGCATAGTGTAGCAGTGGATACCAGGTCATTGAGGTATATATGGCAATGACCGCGCAGATGAGGCCGCTAGATCTGCACACGATGGTACCCAATACACAGCCATCCCGTTCTCAAGAACCGAGGCAGCTACAAGACTTCGTTCGCTTGCACGTGACCTCACACTGGTACACTGGAACTCAACAGACTTCACAAACGCGCGCCTGCATAACTTAGATCCCGATCTTCAGCTTTGTCTTCCCCCAAGGATATCTCAAGCTGAGGAGACTCTTCTATGCCGCCTGTGGCTTTGAGTGGCCTTCACGAACGCATACTCTTATCTCATTGGGATGGCCAGCTCTCCTACATGCACTTACTGCAGTTGCGAAGAAACCATCGCGCACCTTCTGTGTGAGTGCAGCCATTTCAACGCGCAAAGACAAGAACTCACTGCAGCTCTGGATAGACTAGACGATCGGCCTTTGTCAGAACAAAAGATTCTGGGTCATTGGCCGAGCCCATCCTCAGCCCAGAAGGCTTTGAAAGCTTTGCTGCGCTTTTTGCGGACAACTGGCCTCAGAGACAGACTTTAGTGTCTTATACTCTTTGATGTTGCCTTTCCTCTGTCGCAATTTTTTTGTAATTTCTCTCTCTCTTCGCAACATTTCTTTTTAACATCTTTTATTCCCCTCACCCCTTTCCCCAGCACAGGGTAGCCAGCCGGTCTAAGAACGGGCTAACCTCCCTGTCTTTCCGCTTAAACTTTCTTCCTCCTCCTTCATCCCGATGACTAACATTCATGATAAATTTATTAAACAAACTGCTGTGATATATGTTGAGCTTAGTCACCAAAGCATAACCAGAGAAATAGGCGTGATCACAGCAAGATGAGCGTCGCATGCATATTGAACGTGCAAATTAGGATGAGGGCGCCAAGTATCTAAGAATGCGCGTCGTGTCACCTCTGTGTATGCAAATTTATATCAAAGTGCGAGCGCGTCGTCAGTGAAGTTCTCTCTCTCTCTCTCTCTCTCTCTCTCTATATATATATATATATATATATATATATATATATATATATATATATATATATATTTGCCTTGTGCTTCAGTAGTTTGCGGGAATAATAGGCAATAGATGTTCATTGCCTTTGTCGTCAAGTTGTTTTAGCACTGCACTGATGCCTTCGCCAGATGCGTCACAGCACACAGTAAGTACATGGTTCCGAAGGGTCGTATATGCGAAGCACGGGTTCTTCAGTTATCCGCTCCTTCAGTTCACGAAAGGCTTGCCCGCATGCTTCTGTCCACGTCCACTTGCTGCCTTTGTGGAGTAGTTTCGCGAGTGGGAGAGCGATGTTGCTGAAATTAGGGATGCACTCACGGTAGGTGTTTACAGTGCCCAGAAAACGCTGGAGATGTTTTTCTCGTGTGGGTTTCGGAAATTTGTGTATGGTAGCCACATTACCTTGCTTGGGTGTCGCCGTGCCTTGAAAAATTTTGTGGGCCAGGTATTCAATGCTGCAGCGCTCAAAGTGGCACTTTTTCCCTTTGAGTTTTACGTTCTCGCTTTTGGGAGCTTTCAATAGCGTCTCGGGGTGTCGTATAGTATCATAAAATGTCTCTGAGTACACAATCACATCGTCGAAGCAATTACTAACATTGGTGAACTGATGTTTCGCAATTATTGCGTTCATGGCTCTTTCAAATGTAGGCGGAGTGTTCTTCAACCCGAATGGCATTATTACAAACTACTCAAATTGATCATCAGGCGTGACAAATGCAGTTTTCTGGACGTCGTCGGGATGCATTTGGACATGCCAGTATTCCGACAATACGTCCAACGTAGTGAAATGTCTTTCCCAAGTGGTCAACAATATCATCTATACGTGGCATTGGTTGAAAGTTGGGTACCGTTATGGCGTTGAGTTTCCGGTTGTCAATACATAGACGAGTATGTCCTTCTCCTTTCTTTCCCGCTAAAATGACTGGTGCGGCGTAGGGCGACAATGAAGGCCTCACAACCTTTGCTTAATGAGGGCGTCAACTTTTTTGTTAATCTCCACTTTGTCTGTCTGTGAACATCGGTATGGTGCTCGATGAATAGGGACAGTGTTGGTAAGTACGATCCCATTGTGTTCAGTAGTGATGCACCCAATATCTGTCTGAGATTTCGAAAAGATCTCGTCATACTTGGTTAAAGGAGGTCGAGCGCCGCAGACTCATGCTCTGACAAGTTTTCTGAAGTCAGGGTTTGCATCAGTGGGGCTTGAGTGGCTTTCTTTTCATTGTGATGTGGAAGGTTTAAAATGTCACGTGCTTGCGTCACCGACTTGCCTTCCAGATTTAGACAAAGATTGAAGTACGAAGCGCTGTCAAGGCCAAGAATTAATTGCATTCTCATGCCTTACAGAACGTGTACAGAAGCTTTCTTTGTGACGTTATCAATTTGTAACTGAATGTTTATGCGACCTAAAGTTCGAATGCTTGAAGCAACTAGCTGAAATATGATGCTGGAGGCTCTCATCAACTGAAGTTTTAGCTGTTTGTAGACATTCTCACTGATACAAGTAATTGTTGCTCCTGTATCGAGAATAGCAGTTGCTGGCTTTCCGTTGATGAGAGAGCACTGAAGTGCATTAATGAAACTCTGGGTCGCACTCCTCGTTTCCCTGTTCAATCTCAATAGCGGACACATTGCCGCGGCGCAGACATTCGTTGTGCCAGTGAAACTGTCCTGGGAAAACAACAATCTAAATTTGTTTGGTGGGGCACATGGTCGAGGAGTGAATGTTAGCTGCTGCGGTCTGCTGAAGAAACGTGAAGCTCTTGTTGCAGTACTAGCGTTATGAGTAAAGGAAACTCCTCTCATTCGTTTTAACGATGTCTCGACCCGTTCAGCAGCGCTGAGCAACTCTAATGACGAATTGAAAGACAGCCCGGTGAGCGCTAGTTCCACACCAGAAGGAACACCATCAGTCAGTCCAGAAATGATGTAGCACTCTTTCAGGACAGCCAAAGAACCCAGTCGCTTTTACTCATCGTAGTAGTCGTTGGTGGTCTGCCCTCCTTTCAGTTGGTAGTGGATGGAGAGGCAAAATTAATCTCCGTCAGTCCGTTGTAAAGCGGGCTTGTATATTGCGCTTGCTATCGTCCCAAGTCGTCTCGCCATTGCCGAAATTCTCTGTCAGGTACCACTTGAATGCTTCCCCATCAGGGCATTCGCTGAAGCCGATCGCGGTGAGTCCATGATGCCTCGGCCGCCTTCATGTCGAAAAGAAGAAGCCACTTTTCGATGGAGACGTCGACCATCTGGTGTTCCCTTGAACTTCTGTATGTTCAGCGGAGGCTTTGTCATAGCCCTGGCAGGTTGCTGAGGTCGATCCCGTCAACTTGTGTGACGCTACAAAATGAAGACACGTCGTGGTCCAAATGTCATGCGTTTATTCTAATCCACGCCCATTTCTTCTTCCTCGGCTTCTCATACAATCATTTTGTTGATGCGTCACACACACACACACACACACAGATATATATATATATATATATATATATATATATATATATATATATATATATATATATATATATATATATATATATATATATATATATTGTTCGTCTGGAGCAATCTTTCTTTTTTTCCAAGTTCTTGTGACACGAGTGTTGTATCTTGATTTGTTACTCCCACACCAGCTTACAGCCTCAGCTAGATGCAAGCAGCACTGTATGAATAAATATTAAATAACGTGCACTTATCTCAGAAGAAAATAGACCTGCGATGTAGGTACCACTTCACAAAGTAACAGCCGCCACCACAGTGACTCAACGAAGATTAAAACAAGCACACTTTCAAATAAAAATACAGTATAGTTTGAGAAGTTTAAGGTTGCAATAAAATGTTTAAAGCCTCACATGTAGTTCATGCGCGCCGGAATATTTGCTGCCATGAGCGTAAGTTGATGAAACACCATTGTACGCAGTAATCTCTATTGTCATATGAAGTGCTTAAGAAAGGTTTTAAGTGTACTTGTTGGTACACAACTCCACAGATTACTAACAACTCAGTTATTAAGGAAGAATGTATTCAATTACATCAGAGCCACCTTTTTCAAGATGCTAGTGAAAATGTAGTGCTAGATTGCTTGTTATGTTGGACCTTCCTGTCACAATAATTAAAACCGATGACCCCATCAAAGTTGAATAATATAATAAACGAAGTTATCACACACAGAAATGCCTCCTCTGCTACCCCACTCCCCGATATGCCGTCACCTTTTCTTACGGGAGTCTTGAGCACAATGCAAAAGCCATCGGCATATAGTACATGGACCTTACTTGGAAGACCAAATGGCAACGTTGTTGCACCTGTAACATTTGAAACGGCCATGAGGCAACAAAAAAGGGACATTTATTCACTTGCTAATAAATAATATAGGAACTATACGAGCGCTAGCTTTCATAATACGAGTTGTTTATTATTTCTTCTTTTGGCACTTTTCTCAGCTAGTTTCCTATGCAAGTTCCAGTGATATCAGTGCTCTAGGCGTAGAATAGCCCACTAAATTTCGATGTTTCTGACAAATATATAGGAGCAGACAGTCGCCTATTTCGTTCGTCATTCCTGTCCCCAGCTAACATCAAGCCTCATTCAGAAACTCAATACCTACTTCGCGGGGCAAGCCTACTATATACTGTTAGTGACCTATGGAGGGAGCAGCAGACTTCCCAATGAATCCGACGTAACTTGAGGATGCAGAATAAGTGCCTTTGTGGTACTGGAGGAACGGAAAGAAATATCTGTATTTGTAAATAAATATCTGTATGAAAACGAATGTGCGCCACCAATAAAGCTGATGAAAAAGCTCTGTTTACGGAACAATAAAAAAGGCTATTCCATACATTGATTGCTCTGCCGTGTTCAAATATGATTCGGAGCAGCTGTCATAAATGGCGAAACGGCTTCTTAACGCATGGACTCGCCAGAAACAGGCTGTCGACAAATGCGAAGACAAAAGGGCGGTTCGTGCGTGTCTCGAGCAATGAAGCGCTGCTAACACTGGGTGGTGATTCATAGATGAAAAGGTGTGGGCGGAAAAGTACGAAGTGCGATGACAGTGGCCTTTGGTATGCCTTTTGCTCAACCACAGACGCTCAATTGCGAGTTGTGAAAACGGTAGCTTTACTGAGTTGGTTATTTATGAATCATGATACTTGAAATTTGAGTGCTTAAGTTTAACATAGATTTGGAATACGAAGACAATCAAGAGCCTACGGTGAATTGAAGTTTCATTCAGGAAACATTGACATATGAGCATATATACATCGACAGACAAATGATACGCGAGAACAACCATATAAAAAACCACAAACAATGAAAAAATAATAACCACTGCATCTTGCCATTGTTTGCATTGTTTTGGCTCTGCCACGGGGGTCTAGTGGCTAAGGTGCTCAGCTGCTCCCCCGCAGGTCGCGGGATCAAATCCCGGCAGCGGCTGCTGCATTTTCGATGAAGGTAATAATGCTGTGGGCCCGTGTGCTCAGACACGGGTGCGCGTTAAAGAACTCCAGGTAGTCGAATTTTTTGGAGCCCTCCACTGCGGCGTCTCTCATAATTATATCGTGTTTTTTGGACCCCACATATTGTATTGCTTTGCTGACAATAGTCAACCGCCATGGCCTGTGACACTTTCCATGAACACGAGCTCTTGATTTACAGGTAGTTAAGGCTTTACTCACACAATGTGAGCGTGGACAACGGTAACCTAGCAAAACATTTGGGCGCCGTGCAAAGCCAAACTTTATTTCTTTGGGGATGGGCAACGGACGTCTATTCGGAATAGTCCCATACATGTTCTGATTGTTGTAGTTTCGTCATGGTATTTATTTATTTATTTATTTATTTATTTATATAGCCGAAATTGCCTAAGTGGACATGTATTGTAGAAGGTGAGGGTGAAAAAGTATCAAACATATGGGCAAACAATCAATCACGTGGCATTGACATGCGAAATAGTCTTTTACCTCAGCGAGAAAAATTGCAGTTACGTGTAGGTGATTGTCTTAGTGTTCGTTGAAAAATTGTTTTCAACTACAAGAATGTTTTTACAGATGTACAGTACCTTTTCTGTATCTTCTGAGAAGAAGTGTTGTGGTGTCATTTTCCATGGTTAACTCGAACAAAATCTTCTCCTTACTATACAACAAAATGAAAATCAAACACAAATTTTGTCGCGTGCATCAAGGAAGGCGAGTGGTATGCATAAGAATGGCCCTGTCAGGCTGATGCAATAGTTTGCGCACGCTCTGAATAAACCTAATGATTTATTCCGAAAATGTTTTTTGGTAATGTGGTGCGATTGTTCGGATTCAAATGTTCGAATTCAATCGTAGAGTGGAATACCTTTTCCATGTGGCTGAATTGCTTCAATTTTAGAAACTACCTTTAGCCTTTTTGTCCCTCCTTGAGAATATTAGGGCGATTTTTGGAATCACAATGGCCTTACTCGCTTCTGTAAAATTTCAATGGATTACTCGTCAGGTCTAGAATATTCATCTGTTTCTGCTTGGTGAAACATGTTTCCACGGCTACATGGCACACCGATTTCGTTCAATAAACGTCAGTTTAATAAACATCCGAGCTGTCAAGATGCACATTTCTAGCGTATGTTAAATCGAACCCCGTCATACGCTGGCGCAGAATCTTAACACTCTGCCTGACACCAGGTGCTGTCAACGCTGCTACTCTTCATGTTGACAGGTACAGAGCGACAATTAGGCCCCTTGTAGAGCTTTGTATGCCCAAACTTCGGCGAAAATTTTCCCAAATTTGTTTTACACCAGTCACCAAGTTTGGGTCCGAAGTTTGGGTGCCACTTCAAACTTAAAACTATTAAGTTAGGCGAGCAGATGAAATTAGAAAGTTTCCGTGTATAACGTGGCAGCAGAAAGCAGAGGACCGAGTTGACTGGTGCATCATGCGAGAGGCCTTTGTCCTGCAAGGGACGTAGTCAGGCTGATGATGTTGATGAAACTAAAAGGTCCCACTTCGCGGAGAGAACAATGTAGAGACAGGAGGTAGGTAATACATGAAATTCGTAAAGTAATACATGAAATAATCCATGAAATTCGTAAAAAATTAGTAGTGCGTTTTTGATGTGTGCAGAATTTTCCATAAGTCTTAGCTGCCAAATTATTTCATGTACGAAAAAAATAAACATGCTTCCTCAACTCACAATTTTATTAGAGCATCGGCAAAATTCCTGAAAGAACAAGACAAGAAAACGTGTCAGCTTTTTAGAGGTATACTATTTTGTTATTTTCAACACTTCTCTGTACCAGCAGGAAAACACATACTAGAGCAAACGCATAGTGCCTGGCGATTGCATAGATGGCGTGGTATTCCCCGGACAACAATCTCAGCGTGTGCTACAATGCAGACTGTTAACACTAATATTAGCATGACGGTGGTTACTTACAGTTGCCTGGTTATTTGCTACCGAGTGAGCTCCAATGCAGATTAAAACAAGTAGGCCTACAATTGCTTTGAGCTAGTATTGTACGTAACGTGTTACAAGCTATCGATTACTTGTAATAAAGTACATTTCCTTGTACTTTTGTAACGCCATGGGTTACATTCTCGATGTTGTACCGTTGCAGATAATTCAATTATATATTCTTCTCACTGATTGCCATTAATGTATTACTATATTTATATAAAACCAAGTTGTGACCAATCAACATCCGCAGCTGTTCTCATTCCACGAAATATGTCTTTGCTCTGTACGTACCACCATCCTCCCAGACGGTGGGTCCTACAGAGCCCCTATTTTTCAGCTTTTCCGTGGCTTCAGCCGCAACGTCTTACCCAAGCACCAGCAACAGCGGAGCGCGACGTGACATACATAATCTGAACACTTGAATCATAGCACTGCGCAATTCCGAACTAGTAAGAAAAATGTCCTTGTGTTGTATTACGTCCCTTCCCTCCTGTGCTCGCACTGAGAACGTCTTCCCTGCTGCAGCTAGCTTCTTAACTAGGAAACGCGGGAAAGCCAACGACAACGTTGAGATACCACTACTTTGAAAGTTAACGTGTTGCACTATAATGTAGAAGACACATTTAGCTTTGCAGCGCTCATGCAACCTCAAGCATTTTCACGATCATGCAAGCAACAGTAACTAGTTGTATGAGTAGGCTGCTGTTTTTTGTGTCACGGAACTAAAAGTACGAAGGAGAGCAGTGCAATAGTAATCAATTTGTACATAGTCAGCTATTTTTTTAGAAGTGCGTATGTTTTGAAAACCAGTATAATTGAAATCGCTTGCTTGTATGCTGTGACGCATACAAGTTTGCATCGGATGCATCTAGTCCGAAAATCTATCTTAAATTTTATAAGAAACTCATTTAATACTCACCCGAACGAAACGAACTTTCTGCACGACACTGTGCGTACAACGTTTCTTGGCGGAAAATCGGTGTAATAGTCAGAATCCATACAAAAACATTTGGGGTCAAAGATTCGTTCCTTCGTAGCAAGAACTTCCACAAGTCGTTTCTTGCTTTGTAGAACCTGCATCAACGTGGACAATTCGCTGGCAACCAATTTCAGGGGTCCAGCAGGTTTCTTATTAGTTAAAGGGACACTAAAGAAAAAACAATGAGTTGCTTTAGATTGATAAACTGCGCTCTGAGAACTTTATTGTCATAAGTTTCACTGTCATAAGTCACCTACTTGCATAAAGAGTTTGTGCTTGTAGGAGTTTAATGTTGCGCCGTCGTGATTAACATTGATATTAACATTGATTAGTGGACAAAATTGAAGTTTAACGTTTCATTTCGAAGTTCGCGCCGTAGTCTCCGCATGTGTAGTAAGAAATTCCACGATGTATTTTTCGTATTTTCGCGACATGGGCTCGCTGACATTTTCCGAGACTTCGTATGCTAAGTCTGTGGCACCTACTAATCGCAATGTACTTCTATTTTAGCAATTAAAAGCTAAGTGAAACCCAGTAGAGGTCGTCCAAAATTGATGACGTCACAGTGTTTGTTGCGAGACTCTTAAGGTCGCATATCAACGCGGAGTTTCTTTTGGCGCTTTTTCTCGCTTACCAAATGTGGTGTCGCGGTAAGAGTTGTGTTTTAGGGTTTCTCAAATTGCACTTCACTAATACGCGAAAAAGAGTTGTGCTCTTTAGTGTATTTTTGAGTGTTGATTTATTAGAAGCTGATAATTTGCTACTAAATGTGCGAAATTCATAAACATTTTGGATATTGAGAGCGAAGGAATACTACATAAGCTGGGAAGACACTGACACCCGTTACAGATTGTTGGAAACAGATCTCTAAATAACCCGTCATGAATATCACCAAACCTATGTCCATTCTAGTTCCATCTTCAATTACCAGCTTATACCAACAATTTTTACATTCCGTCACATCGTCTACTTCTTCAGTGCAATCACCTGCGTTTCAAGACTATTCGCGCTTATTTTCTGATTTCTGTGGAGCATAGGTTTTCTGAACAGTGATTCACTAAGCACTTCGGACTCCATGAAATACTCTGGCATTTACTGCTGTTCTAGCTGGCAATAAAGGAATGAAAGCTTTCCTTTTTAATACAACATACAAGTTTAGTTTGAGAGCAAGGTGGTCTGGTCAGTTATGTGTATTACCAGTCAACGTATAGAAGAAACCGTTGCAAGAAATGCGGTCTTCCACAAGTGTATACACATCTTGGCGGTATGGTAATAACAAAACAATTCACGCATTTCCACCACGTCAATCACGGCAAGTCTCGTGGTGTATGCAGTCATTAGTAAGAGTACCTCGTACTCTAAATCGTTACCCCCCTTTTTCTAAACAGTCATTTCATATCCGTGTTGATGAACGAACGGGTGCCGCTATAAAGAGCTTCGCCAGGTTTGCAAGTGCTAAGGACGTCCCTGATCGTTCTACGTCAGGGGCGTAAGTCAGTAGGAGTCATGGTGCCCGTCGCGTCTTGGACGTCTTTGAAGGCGCTTGTCTTCGACGTTGTTGTCCCTACGGGGACTAGTGCCGAGACTATCGTTGATGCGACGGCCTCAATAGTCGGCCTCTCAGAGGTATACTGCGTGCAGCATCAGGGAGCTCGAAATTTCCAAGTCACCGTGAAGAGCATGGCCTCCATGTCTCTAATCGTCAATGCTGGCTGCCTGGTGATTGGCGGCGAGCGTGTTCAAGTCGTTCCCGTTGGCCCACAAGTGACCAACATCGCCTGCCTGTTCCTGCCATCGTTCGTCTCAAACGAAGCTCTCGTCCAAGCGTTATCCCCATAAGGCAAGGTGCTCACTGTCACCAGTGGTTTGATGAGCGGGCGACGCGGCGTACTCACTGGAACGCGGTATGTTCGAATAGAGATGAACGCCGCTAATCCTGTGCCGAACTACCTGCGCATCTCCGGTCACCGTGCTACGTTCGACTACCGTGGTCTCCAGCGTGTATGTCGAAGATGCGGTTCAGGGGACTATCTACGAGCCCAGTGCACAACACCGCATTGGGGTCGCTGCGGTGTGCACGGTCACGTTAGTGAAGGATGTGACCGCCCGTGTCGACGCTGCGGGGACGGCCACCCAACTGTGGTTTGCCCTGTCCGCCGCTCTTACTCAGACGCTGCCGCTGGTGTCTTTCCACCACTGACACCGGCAACGGAACCAACTACCGACTCGGGGGAAGCAAAGGAGGTCACCGACGCTGTGCTGGCCTCACCCCTACAAGTTCCTTCAAACGAAGCGCACAACGAAAGCGCGATTGTCGATGCGACGCTTGGCGCGTCAGCCTCCCCGCTGGTGCAGGAACCGTGCGCTTCGAAAGACGCAACGCACTGCCCAGAAAACGGCGTCGGCGTCTCTTCTCTGACGCCACTTGATGTTCAGTGCGCAAATGACCCCAGTTCTCAGGCTGCTGCTGTCGGAGTGGACCCTACGAGCCCTGTTATTTTGGAAAACAGTGGCGAAAATACCACACACTCTTCTGTTGAGGTCGCTCCGACCATTTCGACATCGCGTCGTACACGTAAAAAATCGCCCACACAAAGGGTGCCTACACCGGCCTGCCGAGACGTTGACAGTGCTGCTAGCATCAAGGATGTGGATCCAAGCTTGCCGGCGGCTCAGTCTCTAACTCCTCAGGACACGTCTTCGGAAGACGGCTTCAGCCTGGAACTGGACAGTAGCATCGGGCTGTCGAGCCTTGCTGATTTTGACGTCGAAATGGGAGCTCCACGTGAAACAAAGTGAGGGCACACTTCCAGCTCTTGCTCTGATGAGCGCAGTGATGGCCGTGGTAAATCCCAACGGTCCAAAAAACCTCGACCCTCTTCTGTAGGGTCGAACAGTGCGTTGTAATTTGTTTGAGCAAGTGTCCCCTGGACACTTTCCAGGACACCGTCTAGAACTATGCGCCAAGGTTAGTCTTTACTTTTTATTATGGCTACTACACTGCATTCATTTCATTGAACGTTCACGGTTTTCGCAGTCCGGCAAAGCAGGCTGAAGTGATTAGTGTCGCCCGCGCTGCAAATTGTGTTGTTATGTGCCTCCAGGAAACAAATTTTTTCTCGCGATCCGACGTGCTTGCTTTTAAACGAAAGTTCAACCTAGATTGTTATTTCTCTTTCGCTACATCTAGTTTTACGGGACTAGATATTATTATTCTTAATCGAGCTCTATTACGGGACCATCATGCTTTTTACGATTGCGTGAGCAGGGTTTTGGCTTTAGACTGTAGTTACTTTTCTTTCAGATTAAGGATACTGTGTGTGTATGGGCCAGCGCAAGCTGGACAGTCTAATGACTTTTTAGAGACCTGGATGTGTTTTTTTTCTTGACGGTCGTGATGTCATTCTGATTGGCGACTTCAACTGAGTTCTAAATACGCGAACCGATGTACAAGGTCCTGGCTGGGGCCGGTCTGCTTGGAATTCACGCGAGCTGCGTCGCCTTGTCCACCACTTTTCATTAGTAGACGCGCACAATGTAGTGCACAGAAATACCTTTGTTTGGACATGGCGACGTGGACGATCCTCCAGCAGGCTCGACCGGGCTTATATCCCACGAGCATTAGAGGCGTTTGTCTCCGATTTATGCGTTCCGTCCTTCCCACCTTCTCCTGTGTACGTATCTGATCATTGGCCTACTGTCTTGAAGCTCGAAGTCCCATTTTCTTTTTCGGAAAAGCCATGGCGTCTTGATGTTCGCGTCCTGCAGGACGCGCGCTCAAGATCAGATTTGTCACGCGCAATACGTGTGTCGCTCACGGCGTCTGGTCCTGAAGATTTGGAAGCGCTTAAAACACAGTGGCGCCTGCGCTGCGCAGTAGAGGGGCGTTCGCTTCGTCGACGCGTTTCTGAAGAGCTTGCTGATACTGCGATGAAGTTACGCATTGCTTTGCGTGCCGAGACGCCTTCTCCTCTGATGCGAGCATGGCAGCGTGAACTGCGTGAACGCTTTCAACGCTTGACTGCTGCTTCGTCCCTGGCGACAGCAGCATGGCGGTGTAGACACAACCCATGTGCACATCTCGAGCTGCTGCGCTACGCGAGACATTCGTTTTTGGGCAATCAGAGCCATCTGTCTCTATGACAGCACAAGTACCACCTGCGCAGCGGCTTCCTTGATCGATCTGTTTTCTTGGCGCATTTTGAAGCAATGTCGTGTTCGGCCATGCGGACTAACTGTGATGAAACACCACCAATGCATAGAAGTTTGCCCCGTATTCCTCAAGAAGCTGCGGATTGCCTGCACATCCCTCTGTCGGCTGAAGAGGTAAAGGCGGCACTGAAATCTATGAAACGTTGAACGGCCCCAGGGCCAGACGGTTTTCCTGTTGAGTTTTACGTGACATTTAGGGATGAGATTGGTGCTACCTTTACCGCGGTAATCCGGCGATGCTACGAGGACGGTGTCTTTCTATCAAGTTTTTGAGATGAATGCATTGTGCTTATTCCAAAGGGTGATGCTTCCTCTGTTAATCCTGAAGATTGGAGACCTATCACGCTCCTCAACGTTGACTATAAGATATTCGTGGTGGTAGCCGTTCAACGTTTGAGGGGTCTGTTGAACACCCTGGTAGGTCATCACCATACTTCATCAGTGCTTGGACGAGAAATACACAGCTTGTCATATACCACACGGGATATCATAGCCTATACTCTGTCACGATCTGCGCGTGGTATCCTTGTGTCTTTGGACCAGGAAAAAGCGTTTGACCGACTAGAGCACGCGTATATCCTTAATGTGCTCACAGCCTTCGGCCTTTCTCATTCGTTTGTGGAAATGATTAAAAATACGTACACTGGTCTGAAAAGCACACTAGTTCTGGATGGCTGGGAAAGTGCCGCTTTTTCCATAACACGTGGGGTCCGTCAGGGATGTCCATTGTCTACTGTGCTATTTGTCCTCAGCCTTAAGCCATACTTGCGTGCTCTTGAAGCGGATTCACGTGTACGGGGTCTTGCGCTTCCTGCTAGTGGTGTCATGAAAGTCACAGCTTTCGCTGCTGATATAACCTTGTACCTTTGAGATGAAGATAGCC